GAATGGAGCCCATTGAACCTTGGCCTTTTTATCTGTGTAATCTTTTTTGGTAGATGAGCGCCTGTCTTTCCTTCCTGTCTATCTATTCATGCATTGTGTTTGTATAAATCAACTTTTTGCATTAAACTTTGTTTTCCTGAACTGACAAGCAACATAACAAGCGAGGTGCTACTAATCACTAACCGCCATCTTACTTTGCTCCACTAAACGATGGGTGAACTCCCACCTTAGAATGTATTAGCGCTCGTGCTGAAACCCCAACGAGCTCTGCTTCGTTCATCTCACTCTGATGGCATTTGGAGGGGCTGGTTCAGGACTAATTGGCTTGCTGTCTCCGAAGAACAACAAGTAAAGAGGCTTTAGTCAGACAGAGGGGAGAAAGAAGAAAGTAAATGATGCACATTGATTGAAAGATCTCGCCCATGAGTGCATATTTGTGTGTATGTGCGAGTGGAAGGATAGGATTAGCGTCACAGCTGCCGTGCTCCTCCTCAATCCCTCTATCCACGTCTTATCGTTCCTCAAGTCCCCCACCCACTCATCCCTCACTCTCCTCTCCCCTTCTTCTCTGCTTGCAATTATTCTGAAAGGCAAGCGAGCGAGCGCAACGCCTCATTTAATCCCCATGCTGTTAGTTTAAACTGCCTTATTAAGGTTTTACCTCTTGTTTGCTCTTTTATTTAATCTAGCTTGGCTCTTCGGATAAGGAGAAATCCCACTGTTCCTCTTTCTAAGACACAAATGCTTTACAAACTAATGTATCAGCAGCTTTTTTTTTGCTTAATAATAGGTAATGAGTGATAATCATTGCTCTCCACCTTCATCTCCTCTTCTCCTGGTCAAGGTCACACGGGGCCTTGTTGATGCTCTGCCAAGAAACGGCAGCAAGTTGAGCCAAAACTCCCTCAGCAAGCCTGCAGAGCTGTCAAACAGCCCCTCCTCTCTATCTGCCTCTTTATTATCACCACTTTCCTTTGTGTCACATCCACGTCTTCATCACGGTGTGCTGTAACAGCTCCTTGTGTGTGATATCGAGTAGTGTAAACAGTCAGCAGGCTGCGCCACGTGGTGCCGCGGGGGAGGACAGCCTGTTTCTCGTGGCGGGCACCGGCTCCACTCATACAGACGGAGTATGGATAGACTCCCAGGAGGGGTGGCTCGCCTCGAACACCACCAGCAGTAGCATCTTTATCACATCTTTATCACAGCTCTGCACGCCACACAGCTCAGACCTAATGGTCAACTATCTGTCCTGATTCGACTCCATGTCTGTCTTTATTTTTCTGTCCATCTGTGTATGGGAGGTGCTGCCCAGCTTCTTGTTGTGGCATTCTCTCCATCTGTCCTGCTTACTGGCCTCTCCGTACGGGTCACCGCTCATGTAATTAAAACCAAATAGTGTGTGTGTGTGACAGGTTTTGTAATCAGTCTCTTATTGTTTGAGATGTTTTGTTGTTAACTCGTGATGGGTGTGTTAAACTCCATGTCTCAGTCTGTCTGTCTGTTATGACCACATGGCGAATGGCCATTTTTCTTCCATTCTGACACATGGTCCCCTCTGTGGCCCCTCCCTCTCACCCCAACCCTTCCCCAGCCTCTTTATTTTATCTTTTAGAGAGAAAAGACCAACAGGAGGGCGCGACACTGATTTAAACCAAAGACGAACCGGAAGACAAAGACGACTAGAGACATATGAAGCAAAGTCAAGACTTCTATTTGAGAAGTGAAGCCTGACACCTGCTCAGCTCAGCGTGTGTGTGGGTGTGTGTGGTTGCCTGTGTGTGCATTTCACCATTCCTGTGTGAGCAGGTGGGACTTTGATGGCACTGTGAGCGATGCCTCACACACAGCAACAGCAGGTTTGCAGTAGGGGGCAGCGCTCCTCCCACCTCCTCCTCCTTGTCCTTGCCCTCCTCTCCCTCCCAGCCCAGCCCAGCCAAGCAGCCATACAGATACCCTCCAACTGTGAGTACTGATTAATGTCACAATATGCAGAACAATAGTCAAATGCTGCAGCGAGGTTCAAAGATCTGTTTGTTGTGTTAATTACACCGCTGGTTCATCAAAGCACAGTAATCATGATCTTTAATCGTGATTAATTTGTGAAAATAAGCAGTGTGAACGTGTGTTTCCTCCTCATTATTCAGTGAAACAGAGCGCTTTCATGCTGCAAATACAACTGTCAAAGGTTTGCCTAATTACTTTGTAACTGATCCCCTCATACTGGATTGATTGGTCCCATTATTGATCTGGTTTCCTGGGTGAAAATCTGAATCTGATTGAATGGAATTAAATCAACAATTTAGTTATACAACAAAACTCCAATGAGTTTCTCTCTTTTTTTTTCCTCTCTCTTCCACTAACTCAATCTCATTTCTTCAACCTCCTGGATGCAATATGTGGGCATTAAAAATACAGCTGAGTTCGAGGCCTGCAGGGAAATAGATCTTCATCTCCTCTGCTGCTGCCTGCCCGCCTGCCTACAGAGCTGCAGCAGAGAGAAACAGGATAATGTTTCCTCCGCTGCTTTTGTTATCCACACTTTATCCATCCAAGACTTTGTGTATACACTGCTTCACCACCTACGCATATTCTGAGTGTGTGAGAACACATGAAGCAGCACACGTACACATACACACACCACTTAAAAGTTAATGAAATGCAGTAATTTTCATCCATCTAATTCGCAAAGGTGCAAGGTGAATGGATGAATGGACGGGGGGGGGGGGGTCGATGAGGAGGAACAGGTCAGAGAGGGGAATGGGAAAGGTCAAGGTGCCCTCTGCCTTTCAATTAGGGAGCCTCTGACATGTCGATTCGAGCTACAGAGACACTGATCATGATCGATAAAGGAGATGGGCTGGAATCAGAGAGAGGGAAGTCAAAAAGCATGCACCATTAACGAAGCCATTACTGGACATCCACTTATCTATCTATCTATCTATCTATCTATCTATCTATCTATCTATCTATCT